AATCTCCCAGAGTACACGTGTCTCGTAATTTCGTTCAGACAGCGTCTGCCCAACCTTCCGAAGTACTGGGCTTGGGCGAACTATAACCTGCCTCTCAACTGTAAGGCTTCCTTCTGGGTCATCATTCCTGAATCAAGAAAACCAGCGATGGAAGATGTAAGCTCCTTCCGTCTTCTCTCAGTGTTCTTTACTCTCAAGACGCCAGAGCCCGTCTGGTCAATCTCGAAGAGAACCCCTAGAGCCTCAAAACTCGTGTTCCACTCAGTGGTTTTGTCTTCAGAAAGTTTCCAACCAAGAAGCTTCATCACTTCGTTGAACGCATAAGAACACGAGCTTCTGTCACCGTTCAAGGCCAGAAGCACAAAGTCATCAAAATAATTTGTGGTGGGTACCAATGCTCCCTTTACTAAGATGGTCCAAAGTGCTCTTGCCACTCTCAGGAAGAAGTAAACGGCCTTCGTCGACCCGAAAGGGACCGCCAACTGCCTGAACACTTTAGGCTTGTCTTCCGTCGGGTCATACACAGCGAGATAAGAGAACCTCAAGCTTTCGTCTGCGATTGCCAGCTGCCTATAAGCACTTTTCAGGTCGGCCGTTTTGCCAAACAGTTCTTTCAAGCCCTTCTTCCTTGCGACTCTCGAAAGCTTGGTTATGAGGAGCGCAATCTCATCAATAGAATGAGTCACAGGTTTCTCTGAGACGGTGACTGTGTCATTGATGAGGCTTGAGGAGTAGTTGTCAATAGGCCTCAGTTTGTCTCCTTGCATGATTGGGAATCTGGAGCTGATCAAGCAATCCTCTGGGACAGATTCAAACTCGAACGGGCCTTCCAAATGACCTTTATCCACTTCTTCAAGAGTCTTGCTCCACAACAGAGCATCCGTCTCCCTGTTCCCACATGAAACGGTCCTGTGCCGGATTTGCTGTTTGACCTGCTCAGAGATTTCCATCAACTCCGAAACATCGATCCTGGCCGGTTTGAGTTTTGCGTCAAGCACCCCGGTTACTGGGATGTCACCAGTCAAGGTAGCACCTTCTATGATTTCTTGGACAACTCCAATGTCATCGTATCGAATGTCCTCAAGCATCTCCTTGAAGAGGAGGATGCGCTTCGAGTCCAAGATTTTTCTTCGATGTTGTGACATGCCAGCTTTCAGCTTTGCCTCTTCGGGCTCCAAGGCTTTGGCCCGTCTGCTCCATCGTTCGATATAGCTCTTTCTCTTGGATCTTACCACGCTGGGCTTGTACACCAGCTGCTCAATTAGCTCTTCCAGAGGTTTGTTGCTCTTGGATAATTGATGAAACGGGTGCCCAAGCTTTCCTGCTTGTCCAATGAACTCAATGGGATCCCATGGGATTCCCACTCGTAAAACCCATGAACCATTTAGTTGTTGCATTTCCTGCTGAAGTTGCGGGCTCAAGTTCCCCCCTGATTGAGTCCGCGACAGAAGCTGCGAGTCTGCGGGAAGTGTCTTGAGACCGGGCAGAACTCGAACGTCCTCAGGCACTGGCCACGCCTGTTTGAGACGCTTGGCGCCCGCAAAAGGGTCCGCTCCAACGGAGCGGGGCAGGAGAACGTACACTACCAGTTTCCATTCCGGCACGACTTCCGACAATGCGCCTCTCGGCTGTTGCATTGCCGCCACCCGAGCGGCTTTGTTAATCCTGGCTGGGTTAAGGCACGGTAGGCGCCGAGCCGTTAGACCTGCAACAAATACCTCAGCGAGGGCGTTGGCAAAAGCCGCCGGGTAACCTGCAGTGGAAGCGTCAATTGCAGCTGCCCGAGATGCAGGCTCGGGCACTTCCCGACGAAGAACGACTATCTCAGGTAGGTTCGACATAACCGAAGCCCGACCAGAGTGTGTGCTGCTCCAACAACGCCACTCGACCTCAACTCTGTGAGGTGGCAGCTGCCCCGCAGGGAGCTGTTCCAGACCCTTCCAAAACTGTGATGTCGAAGCTCCTTCGAGAACTAGTGGCAAGTCGTGTTCCATGCAGCCCGCAACGACAGCATAAACAAAAGCCAGAGTCGTAGGCTCCAGACTGTGTTTGGGGACACAAAGCATGACTCCTGCCACCTTTTGCTTGTCCAACCACGTGAGAATGGAGTCACACGCAGACCGGGATGACAAATCCATCTGCAACACTGGTGCCATAGCNNGACTTGTGCTTGACACGATCCACTCCATAAGAAAAATAACCCTGCTTGATTAAGGCCGAGGCCAACTGCGCTTGGCCCGCAAAACACTGTAACACTGCACGAGTAGGTCCGGTGGGACCCGTCGCATCGGGTGCTCCTTCGGAGGTCTGCGACACAGGTCCTGACGACGGCAAAGGATTCCCTGGCGGGGGAATGCGCGCAAAAGGCTCTGCTTCCATGGAAAAAACTTGGTGCGAGGCCTGGGCCCCTGCAGCAGCATCAAAGTCGCAATTCTGCGGTTCCGACGGTGAGGGATCCAATCCCTCACTCGCCATGGGCTCATTCGATGTCAAAACCTCGGACGACACCTCCAAACAACCAGGAACAGGTTCCCCTGATGGCTGCATGTCGACGTCCTGAATCTCCGGTCCCGGCATAACCCCGGGCCCTCCTAGTCACAGCTTCTTGGGCTTCAGAGGACACTTGCCAACCGGGTGGTCACCACCACACTTAAAGATGATACAGGAATGGTCCCCTCTCTGGCAATTGGCGTCCATGCACTTCCCCAGGTTGAAACCGTAGCAAACCTTGTTGCCCTTATGATTCCAAGCCGAGGCCCCCTGATATCTGAGGCCCTCCGGTAACCAGTCTTGCTTACCAGTTCCAAGTCCCTTGCCCTTTCCAAATTTGTCCTTGCCCTTAGTGGGATGCTTGCCTTTGCTTGTCCAATCATCGTAACCTTTACCGCCCCAGTATCCTTTGCCTTTGCCATTGCGGCCTTTCCAGGTGTTGTTATCGCCTTTCCAGGTGTTGTTGTCGGTATACGGGCCCGGCCGACCTCCGCGCCCTCTGCGGGCCTTGCCAGACGAACCATCCAAATCTCCCAATGGCAAGAGGGAAACTATTAGATCA